CAATGCAAACGGCTTCCTATGTCCAAAGTGCCAAATCACGAATGGCCGCACTTTTGTTTTGTGTTTATGTGAACATGCGTGCCTGGGCGTGCGTGTGTGTGTGCAAAATGTTTCCATGTGTATGTGTGTGTGCGTGCCTGTGTAACATAACGGTTATTTTTGTGTCAGAAAGAAATTTATTGAAAGATTTGTATAACAGTACATTAAAATTCTGATTTATGTGGCAAATAAAGAGAAATTATTTTTAAACACTTACTGTAAACTGAAAGTACACGTCTATTTATATGTTCAATATCAGGGATGACATTCGAAAGATCAAAGCTGTAGTTCATTCCCTGTTGTTTAAGACTTGCGAAACTAAAGATGTAAAGCCATTTTCAGCTACGTATATATTAACTTAAAGTAACAAAAACATTGATTGTGCAGAAAAAAATACTTCTAATTTTATTATTTTTCAAATAACGTTATTAGATCAGTAGTAAGCAGCATAGTTGGTTGAGATGGAGCAGGTTTTACATAGCCTACTGCTGGATAGTTTAATATACTAGAATAAAATGATTAATAGGTTTTTATAGGTTTTTGAAGTTTGAATGAGCAAGAACCGTTACAGTACAATACAGACTCTTAACAGTGTTCCTGTTAGATGCTTTCCGTGTCTAAAACAAAAATGTTATCAAAATGTGCTGGGGTCTCCTTTTTTCAATCTTTGAAAAATATATTGAAATATACAAACATTGCAGATAATGTACTCATTGGTACAGAGAAAGACATAATTAAATATCACAAGTACAATAACTTGTATGTACTTATATATAGGGCTTTCAAATACCCAATTTCATGGTGGGTCATTTTTGATTATTTTTCTTTGAAAATTTAGAAATGTTCTTTGTCTTCCTCCAATATTATATCCAATACCTCTTTTATTCCTCCACTTGTATGTTGTAGATTCTGCTGCTGTAACGCTTGAATTGAGTGGAAACAAAACATTTGTATTGGTTATCCTTTTTTATCAGCAATAAAGGGATAACAAAGATTAAAATTAAATAAATAAATAATGTAAAATATATAGAAAAAGTAGAATTGGTTTGAAAAAAAGTAACAAATAAAAGTACAATAGGAATTAGACATCCATTTCATTTTTTTATAAGAGTTCAACATACATGACATTTTTATTACCTTATTTTATAAATGTGGGATTATTTACATTTCCTATCCTCAAATCCCAGTGAAATTGTGGGGGATGTTGTGGTGGGGGGGGTCCTGCCCTGACCCGCCACCCCCCCCCCCCCCCCCCCCGTACGGTACCAGGGGTCTGTAGTAGGAGGCGGAGCTACTTTACTGTAGCAGGTCAACGCCGCTCCGTTCAGCACACAAGCAAAGAAGACACAGTATGGCGTGAGAAAGCGGTCTTTCTCACGTTATTCTCCGGGTGGGAAACACAACACCGAAGACAACAGAGCCGACCAACCTAGGTGAGTGTAATTGACGTTGTCGCTTTACTTTTGTCACTCTTTCCTAGGTGATAATAGTGTGCAGACCTGTTGGGAGCTAACTACTGCGTGCTAACATTAGCCTGTTAGCTAGCTTAGTGTTTTGATGTTGCTTCCTAGTGACAGTAGTGCAATACGGGTCACTGCTTGTAACATCCCTGTCAAAACACGTCCATTACCAGTGGTGTAAAGTAACGAAGTACATTTACTCAAGTAGGCTACTGTTACTTTACTTGAGTTGTTCAATGTTTTGGTACTTTGTACTTCTACCCCACTACAATTCAGAGGCAAACATTTTACTTTTACTCCATTACATGTATTTAATATCTGTAGTTGCAGATTTGGATTAATGATGTGAAATATAACCAACACTTAAATAAGACTTTAGTGACACCTGGAGTAACACATACAAGCTACCTAGCTGCACCTTTACGAGCTTTGATAACACTGTCATGCATAAATAATTATAAGACAAATATATAATATATTATTCTGAAATGTGCAAATCTGCATAATAAGTCATTTTACTTTTCGTACTTTACATTTAGTTTGATACTCATACTTTTGTGCTTTTACTTGAGTAACATTTTTGAATGCAGGACTTTTTCTTGTAACAGAGTAATCCTACACTTGGGTACTTCCATTGTTTACTTAAATACAAGATCTGAGTACATTTGTCCATTACAGACCACAACAAAAGTAGAAATGAACTTCCCAAATAGAATCACAATTGAGGCCACACGTGTGATATATTTGTGTTGTCCAGATGTTTATTTGTTTTGACAAAATACATGCTGGCAATAGCCATGCACCATACCTAATGACCTACATTGTTTTACATTTCAGTTGCAGCTGCAGGCAGGAATCAAGCAGCTAATACCCACAGTATGTTTGTCCCCACCATGTTAAACAGTGTCCTGGCTGGCTGTTTGTCAGACCTTAGGTTACCCTCCAGCAGCTCCTGTGACCAGAGATCAGTTTCAAGCAGAAGGTTTTTACTCTGATAAATGGATAACCTCTCAAACCCCCCTCATTGTTGGCCATACTGCTGCCAAAAAGACCCGTTTCAGACTTGTTTTTAGCTTGACTCCGTAAACCTGTTTTTTGGAGCAGCTCTTGGCAGGGAACTGAATCCTCTGCAGTTTCATACCCACATGACAAGCCATGAGAAGCTGACTGGTTACATTTAGAGATCATATCCTGTGTGACTCCCAAGTGCATGTTTGTGTGTCTTCAGCACAGTTGACAAGACGTTTTATGACATTTTCTGATGATATCAAATGGTATGTGTTTTTACATAAATAGCTAACTATACATGACCTGAAACCAGATCTGGGCGTTTTTGTATATTGTGCAAAGTAATAATAATAATAATATTAATAATATTGTGCAAAGTGCAACTAGAATAGATTTCATCAGGGATTTGATTTGCCCTGAATCTTGTTGTTTCCTGCTTGATATAATGTGACAGATATGTCTAGGTTTATTTGAATGTGAGTGGTACGGCTGGAACAACATGAAATGCTCTTTCTGATTGTTAGAAGTGTTCCTTATTTAAAATGATTTATTCTGTGCATTCTAACTAACTATGCTAAAAACACTTAACCATTCTCTAAAGTGTATCATTTGTGAATTAATCCATACATTGATTGACAGAAAACAGAACAAGACCATTTTGATTTATTTTAATAAAGATAAAGATTAGTCTATAAAAAAAAACAATTATTAGTTGTTACTCCCCATACGTCTATATCTCACATCTGGATGCATATAACATTAGGCTTATAGTTTATAATGGTGTCATATGTATTTGTTTAATAGCCCAATATGAAGGTTAATACATTTATTTTTGCAAACTATATTAGATCATTACATAATTGTGCAAAACTGCATTGTTTCAGGATAAGTTTAACAATTTGGCTCTGATTTTTTAGCAATGGAGTAATTGACAAAGGGGATAATCGTTTAGTGACCGCTGTTCCTGTTCATTTCAACCAATTGTTACTTTATTGCAGAACTTGTTGAATGAAATCGCACAAATGAAGCCGCCATCCTAATTGTCGCTCTCCTTTTGTCTGTTTAAATGGATGCTGAGCCAGTGCGTGTAATGAATGGAAATGGTCGTGTGTCTATTGTGTCGGGAAGAGATGGGCGTAGGCCAGCCCCCTCATCTAATATTCAGCCTGTAGTGAGGGGGGGATGCTGAGCGTGAGCCAGGCAGTGCCCTGTTGATAGTGTGTGCGAGTAAGCAAGGGATAAAGATTGGTGTTGAATAGCCAAATAAATATAAGCTTCACCCTACACCAAGGTAAGAGCTTTTTATTTTCTCTTGTTTTGTGGATGTATAGAGACCTTGTGCCTTTTTTAGCTGCTTTCATCTTTTTTTTTTCAACAGCTTTTAGTGTATTTATTGGTGTTTTGTCTCTGCTGGTTTTTACTGGGTATGTGTTTTTTTAAAGGTTGTGTGCAAGCTCCAATTGCTCAACAGATAGCAAGTGAAATGTCATCTGATTGGTTCTTGTGTGGTGTTATCATCCACCCATTGTGCTGAGAGACAAGGGGCTGTGGAGGGTGTGTCAACAGGCTCATTTTCCCTTCATTGTAAACAAAAGATTTTTTCCATTCTTTTTGACACAATCTAATTCATAATACATTTTGCAGTTGATCCTTAATTGAATAAACAAGTCCATATCTTAGATACAAAGAAAGCATATGATGTTAATCATTGATTGGCAGCTCTGGGTTTGACTAAATTGACTGTTTTGGGCCTTTGTACTCCAGGCATGTGACATTTAAGCGTTTATTGACCTGAGGCTGCCTCCCTGAGATTATGTGGAAATATTGAGCAGCGTGTTTGCTAGTCTTTATGTGAAACCCATTGCCAAGGCAACTTGCAAGCAATAAAAGCAGCCGATTAATTCTGCTTTGCTGTGGCAGGGCGTGAGTCTGACCGTGATGGAAGAGCTCAACATGATGAATCATTCATGAGTTTTTCATCGATTGGCTGAATCCCTGATCAAACAGCCATGTTTCAGTGGGTTTTGGAATCAGGTGAAGTGATATGTAAAATCTGAGAGGCTTTCAGAGGAGAGGAGCTCTTGTAAGTGCCCAATAGTTACAGACATGTCGTGTGAGTAAGAATGGAATGATATAAACTAAACAATTGCAATTCATAATAATACAAATGTTCTTAGATTAATTAATTAAAAAGTACCGTAATCACCTTGTTTTTTGGGGTTAAGAAACAATTGAATGGCAGCATCACAGATGGAAACATATCTTGTTTTTAGTGAGAAACAAACAATCTTGAATAAGGTAATCATAAGGCAACATATAAGATGGGAAGGTTGTGTGAGTTTTTAAAATCAAGCTTTATTTTTAATTACTCTACTGATGGAAAACTAAATGCTTTTTCAAGCCACTATTGTGAGGATATTTATGAATGTCCTTTTAATGGAAATCCACCATGTTGTGTTTTTTATTTTTGTATTAGTCTGCATTTAAAAACATATTTTCCTAGGCCCACGTGAGTGCTACCATTAAACTCCAGTGTAAAAAGGTTAACAATGACTCATGAGAGGAACATTCTCATCTACTTAATGGGTTTCAAATGATTCTTAAGAACGGTGGAGCCTCATTATAGATAATCCTTTCAAACCCATCTGTCTGCATTGATTTTGGCCGATTCAGACAACTTGCCTAACTACCTCTTACTGCCATATCCCATCAGTGCCAAGCATTTTCAGTCAAATAATATGCACCTATTCAAGAACTTAACAAAGCAGTACCTTTCTCCTTTAGTGCACATACGTTTCACAAAGTCCAATCTAAGGCATTGGAGGAGGGTAGCAGTGAGGTTGGTCTTGATATAATTGGAGAACACAGTCCAGTGAACCAATTGTCCTCGTCATCAAAGTCAAGAGACTATTGTTTTTCTTCAGTGGCATTTCACTTAGTGGACTTTCTTGCCTTCATTAAACTAAGTAGACAGATTATGTTTTCAGCATGAGCAGGCAGACTGAACTAAACTCAATTGACCTAAGGTAGCTCTTGTATAATGAGCAGGCTCAGTCCAATGTTCTATTATAACCACACTTTTACATTCTAGTATAGTAGTATTCGTTTATTAGTCCCCAAGGGGAAAATGGGTTGCAGCACATCACAGAGGCATTTAAAAAAGTTAAGACAATACATCACTGACAACAACATAGACACAGATAAAAACAAACAGACATAAGAAAACCAGATATCGGCAGACATGACAAGGGGCCTATAGGCCCTCATTCTGGTTGAAACAGGGCACATATACACTGTCCTAAATGTCAAAGAGTCACTACTGTGCCTTTTACGAAGCCTGGTACAGCAAAATTAGACTTTCTGCATTCCTTTTTTAAAAGTTAAAAATAAATACACAAATGTATGTAAAGACAATGCATATGCAAATAAAAGCAAGTGCACACAAGCATTCAAGCAACACTGGTGATACTTTGTTCAATCTGCATCTATGCAGCACCATTTCCATGTTTTTTTCTCTTTCAGTAAAACTTAAAAGATTATTTTAATATATTATAGACCTCTTTTCTGATTGCATGTTGTGAATGTTGATAGTAAAAAGATGCTCTCTGCCTCTGTTTTGTATTTGCATGACTGAGTTTGTGCATGTGAGCGGGGTTTGTACTTGTTTATTGCCTCGCATCACCTCAAAGAAACACCACTCCCTCTTCCTGGCTGTAGCCTCTCTGCTCCTCTCCTGGTAGTGCTGTACATTCAGCACTGCTGGCCAGAAAGATACCATTAGTGTCTGTATTCTTCTGTGAATGCTAATCTGCTTTCCTCTCTCTCTGCAGTGGTGTCTATAGGGGGGTTAGCAGTCAGCCATGGATACCTCCACCTCCCTGAAGATGACCTCTCTGGCCGTTCAGAGTCTGTTCAGCTACGTGGAGGAGGAGAACCTCACAGCCATCAAAGCACATTTGGACAAGTTCAAAGATGTGGACAGCAGGAGTGATGTAAGTCTGACATTTCACAACAATGCTCTCGCATGCTTCATTTATCTATTTTGGGAGCAGTATGGAGTAACAAGTGTTTTGTAAGAGAAGACATATTAAAGCTTTAAATAAACACTGCAAGCCATTTGCAAAGAGTATACACAGTACTTGATATTGTGTTCTGCTTATGGAGGTTTAACATTTTCCTTTTTAATTAGTGATGTAAGAGATGTCTGTTGAGCAATGTAAAAAAACAACATTTGATTGTGTAAAGCAGTGCTTCTCAAAGTGTGGTCCGCGGACCACTGGTGGTCCGTGAGCGCCCCCTAGTGGTCCGTGAGTATATTGGTAAAATTTCACATTTGAAATAAATAAATAAATAAAAGTTTTTCGCACTCTCGCGGGAATATCTCCGCAATGGAGCGAGCTTAAGTTTCACTTTCGATTGCATAATATAGCCCAGATAAACACCTTCATCACACATGTTGCCACTTGTTTGTACCATTTTCAGGAAATTTGTAAAAACCGATGTGTTTTTGGACATTTGTGGAGTTAGGTGGTCCGCAAGTGTTTTTTTATTGGTTAAGTGGTCCTTGGTATGAAAAAGTTTGAGAAACACTGGTGTAAAGGGATGAACAAAACATATATATATATATATAATGGGTGTAATTACTACACCTAATGTAATGTAGAAAGTTGAGATGGGTATGTGGAAAGCCAAACCTTGATATACATTTTCTTCAATGAACCCCTATTGTCCAAAAACGATGAAAAAGCACCATCAGCCCCACTGTTGTACACACTGACTGTTCCTCCATTTCCATGACTATGGGCAGTCGGCACATACAGTTTACTTTCATGTCAATCCCAGATAAGCCACCCTGCTGCTGTAAATACTCACTATTAAACCAAATCCACATTTCAAGTTTATTGCAAGTATATTCTTGAACAGTTATAAGATGGATATAGTCAGTGAAAACAAATGGGTTGGGTATTTCAGAATCAAAATACCTTTATTAGTCCCACAGAGGGGAAATGTACATTGTTACGGCAGAAAAGAGCCAAAGACAGCTTAATGTTACCTAAGTAGCATGCATACAAAAAATATTAAAGATTAAAAAAAAATATAATAAAAAAAGTTACACAGTTTACCAAAAAACGCATCCTGTAACAGTTCTGTGGATTTAGCAGCCAGGTATATATTGCACGGTTATTAACGGCATATATATGTATATATTGCACATATTGCACATATTGCACATAGTTGGTGGTTAACAACAAGGAGTGTTATAGTCTATGTTGTTGTGTGTGTGGGGGCTGGTTATATAGTCTGACCGCTGTAGGAAGGAAGGACCTGTGGTATCTCTCTATTTAAGACAGTATTGGGTTAAGTCTTTTAATAGATTTGTTAAAATAATGTAGAATAACAACATTTGTAATATTAATCCTGGAACCTGAGTAATAGAAAAAGGTTGTTTTAGGCCATATTGCATCAAAGGATAATCATCAGGCTGTCTTGGTTGTACCAGGTTTGGATTGGAGTAAAATCATCAACTAGTATCACTAGCTGCCATTATTTTTCCCTGTGAGTTTTGAAAAGGGTTACAGGGAAAACAGTGTAATCAATGTGCTTGTTGATGTGTCCAAAAGTCACAGTTACAGTTTCTTCCCTTTCTCCTTTTTCAGAATGGACAGACTCCGCTGATGGTGGCGTCAGAGCAGGGCAATGTGGAGATAGTACAGGAGCTTCTAAGGAGAGGAGCCAACGTTAACTTGGACGATGTTGTAAGCATGCACACACATGACACCTCAAACCTAACATAAACACACCATCACACCGGCACACGTGGCACTTAATTAAGCATTGAGAGTCCAGGCACAGGTGAAAAACAATGCGGCCATTTTAACCACACTACCCACTTGACGAAGAAGACGTCGCTGTGTGGCTTTGATGTTACATCTTGCTGATCTCACCTCACTCAGGCTTAGTGCACAGCTATAATGAGTCCTAATGATAACCTAGGACACACTTTTACCTTTGCTCCTCTGACTAAATCACAGGATCTACTTGCTTGGCCAACACCCTTTACTGCCATAAGCCGGCCCCCTGTGCACGCAAACACTCACACACACATATACCCTCTCACTGAGACACACGCATGCTCATACAGTACACCTCTCATTAACATCTCATACATGTAACCTGCTATTACCTGTTATTACACACAGCACACTCACACTTGTGCTCACTCTCGCAGTAACACAGAAGAAGAAAGAAGCATTTCATTCCATAGTTTCACTTTTCTTTACACTCCTGCCTGTCAATGCGACACCGTGTTCCCATGAGCACCTGGTACGACCAGCTGGTAGGTACAGTGCTTTGAGTCATTCCTGGACCGTCCTGTAGTGATCGGAGAGACGATTTTCCAACTGGATTTGGAGACTGCTGGGAGTTCCCGTGGTAACAGGTTGTCTGTGTGTGCAGGACTGCTGGACGGCGTTGATCTCGGCAGCGAAGGAGGGCCACATCGAGGTGGTGAGAGAACTGCTGGAGAACAATGCTAACCTGGAACATCGAGACATGGTGAGGACATGAGCCATTTCAAATCTGCTGTTGACTCTATTTAAAAAAAGAAAATGAAAACTTTTTATTTTTCTTTCGAAACCTTAGACTGTAGGATCATAATAAAAACACAATAGATTAAATTAATCAGAATAATATTTAATATGGCCATACATTTTTATCAATATAAAGTATATACAAAATAAATAAAAGTGAATTATTTAGTGTTAAAAATGTGGTGTAAAATCAGATGGGTTGTAATTAAGACATGCCATGTAAACAAACATCCTAAGTTTGTTTCTAGGGACCTTTGTTGCACGTCATCCTCATTGTCTCTACTTGGTTACACTATATCATCATCATCATCTTTTATTTAAAGAGACTCTTGGTCCATTATTACAAAAACATACAACACTCAAATATCAATTAAAAAAGGCAGTTATACCAATGTTTCCACAGAGGTGACTGGTATCGTACAGCACTGAAACACGGATTTGAAAGCAGCATAATGACAGAGTTATGAGAAACATTCAATCGATATGTTACTCTATATGTATACTTTCTATATAGAGTGATATATATTCTATTAAAAGTGGCTAAAATGGTAAACCAACTATCTTATAAAGATACAAATAAATTAAGGATAGAGATGTATCCTTAGTGTCAACATTATTTAACAATGTATGTTTATGAGGATAAGATTTCTAAATTCTAAAACATATCTAATTATACAAAAAAAACTCCATAGCTTGATTGACAAGATTTTCGATCAACTTTAAGTGAACTCTTCAGGTGTAACCTTTATACGGTTCAAAATATAATGAAGTCTTGATCGTGTGTGCATTAGTGCTTTCTGTATAATGTAACGACCACAGTGCTGGTTGAACAGGATGATCCATTAGCCCTGAAATGGACATAAAATGCAATTACTCCAGCAGTAATACCATTTACAGAGCTCTGGTTGTCTCGGCATGGGGCAGTGATATGATTTAGCTCTGGGATCCAGTCCTCTCGGAGGCAGACGCTCGGCAGGCTTGCTGCTGAAACAGCTTTTCTGTATATTCAAGAGCACACTATCAGCATCAATCATTGAAGATACTCATATAACCTGGGGCTGAGCACTTTATGTATTCATTGGGTTGTATATGTCCCTGCTGAAGAGGCAATATTCATTACCAGCGCCTGTTGCTAAAGCTGGCCCACATGGGTATAACCGGCCCAATACTTGATTGGACCACAACCTTTCTTATGCAAAGGAGCCAACAAGTAGTCGTAGAAGGGGTGAAATCAAGTACAGTTCACGTTGACTCTGGTGTCCCACAAGGCACTGTGCTGGGTCCAATGCTTTTCTTATGCTACATTAATGACCTGCCGTCACATGTAGCATCTACAGTGCGGTTATTCGCGGATGACTGCCTGCTCTACAGGCCTATTAAAAATGGAAGTGACCAAGAAGACCTACGGGGTGACCTGACTAGACTTCAGGAATGGGCTAACACTTGGGGAATGTGCTTTAATACTAGTAAGTGCTACATCCTACGAACAAGCAGATCAACAAACCCGCACATTAAAAACTATACTCTATGTGGCCAGGTGTTAAAAGAGGTGACCCACCAGCCTTATCTTGGGGTAGAAATCCATAACAACCTGATATTTGGCCAACACATTGGCCAAATTGTAACACAGGCAAACTGTTCGCTCGGCTTCCTACGCCGGAACCTGCGACGCTGTCCCCAGAAACTGAAGGAGACAGCTTTTGTGGCCCTAGTACGTTCTAAACTAGAGTACGCCTGCTCGGTCTGGTACCCCTACACTGATAAAGACAGTGATGCCCTGGAATCAGTACAAAGAAGAGGTGCAAGATTCATTTTTGGAGATTATGAATGGGACAGCAGTGTCACAGAAATGCTCAAGCGGTTGAACTGGGTGGAATTAAGTGAAAGGCGGCGATTGGTTCGTTTGGTTCTCTTCTTCAAGATTGTCCATAACATCTCAGCCATTGATGCATCAATGTACCTAGAGCCAGTTAGAAGAAGTGCAACCCGCAAAGCCAACTCTTTGAACTTTGAGCGAATTTTCGCAACTAGTGACACTCTTAAATACTCCTTCTTTCCGAGAACAATCAGTGAGTGGAACTTGCTACCAGAAGAAGCTGTTATCGCAGAAACCGTGGAGTGCTTCCGGCAAATTTTAAGAGACATTTAGCAGGGATCATCCATCCCCCACTGAGCGTGATACCTCTGAGTTCTGCTCAGTATTAATCCAAATCCAGATCCAGACCAGCAGCAACAAATACTAATAAAGTCATCCTTATGAGAAGTAATCATTGGGAGGTAGTGTAACTGATGTATAACATTTCTATAGTTACACTCAAAGATTGCACTTTTATTTCCTGTACTATTTTATGATACATGATAAAACATTTAGGTCTGATTTTATGTCCTTGGCCTCTTTGAATTGATGGAAGTCAGGACACAGACTGACTCATTGCGTGTCTAAGCTGCACAGGACAGATCACAGCCAGTCATCACAGTAGGATTATTATAAACCACACTGCGTGATACTGATCACTTGGTGGAATGTGTGTCACAGCAGCTGTAAATAGCACATTTTCCTACCACAAAATCTGCTTAGATTTGACCTATGCTGCTGGAATTTAGCTTGTTTTTCCCTAAAGCCTATAACGATACAATGATACCTATAATTATGTCCATACACAGTGCATATTCCATACCTGGAGTAGCCATGAACACATTCTCTCCTCTCCAACTCCACTGTGTTGTGTTCATGTATTCTCCTCAGGGAGGGTGGACTGCTCTCATGTGGGGAGCCTACAAAGGTCATACAGATGTGGCCCAGATGCTCATGGACAAAGGAGCTAACCCCAACATCACCGGACAGGTACTAAGACGGACACACCATAATAATAGCAGCATTGGCATCTGTTTCCCTTATTTCAGCATTGACATTTAAAGAGTTGTGTTTACACTACATGACATGTAGCTCCGCTCAAATGTGTTGCCCAGCGCTGCACTCAAAGTTCAAATTATTTCATATTTGACCTAGTTACCGCTGACCTTTCGATGTGCAACCAATCAGAAAAAAGCTGTATATCAGAATCAGAATTCAGAATCAGAAACAGGTTTATTACCAGGTAGGTAGGAATTTGACTTGATGTCGTGGTGCATAAAAACAAGAATTAAAAACACAGGTAGAGAACTAGAAAAATATTTAAAATAATTAAAGATATAGTCAAATATAACAGTATTTACATTGCAATGCAATGGAATAGAAGGAATAAATGATGGAATACAAATAAGCAGCACAGGTTGGCAGAGAAGGTAACCATAAAAACAAAACTAAGTGGCTGTTTCCGCCGTAAATGAAAACAGTGCCCAAGCTTGCGGTGTCAAAAAGAAAATTGCATATCATGTGAATGCAGCCTTATTCCAAAGGAAGTATATACATGTAACTGTAATCTGATGTTTCAACTCACTAGATGAAGTTTAATTTATTTGAATGTCAGTACACATAACTTAACAGTAATGAATATGTGAACACAACCACAACCTTGCTCCTCACCTGTCTGCTGCGATGTCTCCCCATCAACTGCTGTTTTAGTCATGTTCAGTAGCTTAAAGCCTTAGTTTGACCGCAGGCCGACACTGATGGTTAGTTACTGTCAGCATGACTTCACCCCTCTGCTCTGGCCCAACAGTACAGCGTCTACCCCATTATCTGGGCGGCAGGTCGAGGCCACGCAGAGATTGTCCATCTCCTGCTGCAGCACGGAGCCAAGGTCAACTGCTCGGACAAGGTAACTACATCCTGACAGATGTTCATCATTTACTTGTTTTTAATCACACAGAAAATGTAATTAGTGGTAGGATTCAAGTGAACATCCACCTTCCTGTTCATCTTCCCTCTTCCTATATTAATTAACCTTCATTCCGGATCATTCACAAGTACCTAAGTTGTCGATTAGATGTATTTTTGCCACTCATGCCTTATGTATTTATATTTTTCTTCGCAGTATGGCACCACTCCTTTGATCTGGGCAGCGAGGAAAGGCCACTACGACTCTGTGATGCACCTTCTGGCCAACGGAGCTGATGTGGACCAAGAAGGAGCCGTAAGTAGATTGTTGATTTCCTGTGAATAGTACTTTATTATTTTACAGGAGCATTCAGTGGAGATACAACCCTATTGTGCTTTCACCTAAAAAGACGATTTCAAGTTTGACTTTTCAAAGCGGTACTGGGCTTTTTTATTCAAAGTGTATTTTCTCTGCGACTAGGTAAAGTTGTTTGGGAAAAATACAGACCGTATAAATGTAACTCATTGTGCCTGACTCAATAAAAAGTTGTTTGAACAATAGTTGCGCCACATAAATAGTACTGCAGTTTACAGTTATAGTTATCATAATTATAAATAAGAGGATCTAGAAAATGTTAAATTCAGGTACACAGTTGCTAAAGATATTGATCAGAGTTCAATATGATATTTTTATGAATAAAATAATGTTGATTATTACATTTGATCACAATGTCTACATATTAATGTTAAAATATGTAGATTTTACCGTAAGGGTTCTTAGCTATGTCTGGAGACTTTAGAAAGCCTTTGATAGTTTGATGTGTAGAAAAGATAATATTTGTAGATCCGACACTCTTTATGGCTTTGCACCGCACAATTATTTGATGTAGTAAAATATTTGCCAATGTTTCCAAACACTGTTGATTTCTGATTTGGTGTCTCAGGAGGCGTTTTAACAGCTGAACACGTCTCATTTTGTGTCGGGTTCATCATGGGTGCCTTAACACACATAGCGGCCTGTTCACTTCTCACCAGTGTAGTTTTCACATAATCAAGATTTAATGCTCCCGAGCGCCACAAACTCATTAGTAAACTGCGATATTAAATAATTGATTGCATCGATGACGCAGCACATCTGTGCTCCTTCGAGTCATGTTGCATCTGTGCTGTCACACACTGATAGATGTGATGGTTCGATATGTAGCATTAATAATCAGATGGAACTATAGGAGCTGATGTTGCCAAGCAATTGATTCATGTGTGATTTAGAGGCTCTAGTGCCTGGGTAAATGTATGAGTTATTGTGCTTGCTGGACAATATATCAATAATAATTTGCCATTAAGCCCGAAGTGTCCCCCAGAGCTGCTGAATTAAACTGATAACATTTGGGAAATAACGTTTTTTAATCATCAACAATCAATTATTGAACATCTGCCATTTTCTACACTGACCAGAATCCTCAAGTAGAGGGAAACATCTGTAGCGGTAATCTTGAACAATTTGACAGAACCTGAAATTGGCTCATTTCAATCTTTCTTTATGTTTTCAGAACTCCATGACGGCTCTGATTGTGGCAGTGAAAGGTGGCTATACAGAGGTTGTAAAGGAGCTGCTGAAGAGTAACCCAAACGTCAACATGACCGACAAGGATGGCAACACCGCCCTCGCCATTGCTGCCAAGGACGGTCACACCGAGATCGTACAGGACCTGCTGGATGCCGGCACCTATGTCAATATCCTGGACAGGGTGAGGCCTCCTTACAAGATTAGATTAGAAGAGTAGTTCAAATGCAATGAGAGTCAAATAAAATCCATCTGTTTGTTTTTTCTTTCACCATCTCTATCAGAGTGGGGAGACGATGCTGATTGGAGCGGTGAGAGGAGGCCATGTGGAGATAGTCCGAGCTCTGCTGAACAAATACGCTGATATTGACGTCAGGGGAATGGTAGGAGCTCCTTTCCCACTATCTCCACTGCCTTACTGATGTTTTGAAACAGGCAGGAGGCCTTCTTGTGTTCCCTATGTGATATGTCACACTGCTACTCAATACCGTTTGATCTGTTGTTTCTTGGTAAAGTAAACGTTGCTCTATTAGATTACACAAATATACACCAGCATACTGTTAGGAGTACATACACAAATACTTATACGCGTTATCAGTTCTGCACAATATATGTCTACATTACTTTTTGTATTTTTAACACAGTTTGTAAGATTTTTTACAATATTATCCTTGTCCTTTTCACCACAGGATGGAAAGACTGCCCTCTACTGGGCAGTGGAGAAAGGCAACGCCTCCATGGTGAGAGACATCCTGCAGTGTAACCCGGACACCGAAAGCTGCACTAAGGTACGGCACACTCCATTTTTAAAAAGTAAAAAAAGTAAGTCCCATACTGAGTTTGCTGTTTCAAAGTTTCAATTGTTTCCACTGACCATATTAAATAAGAAAAGGAACAACAGAAATCTACACTTCCTGAAAAGATCTGTTTTAAATATTGCTTTATAACAGCTCACCCTAGGCCTTTTTGGATTTTGAAAGTATGTGTGTAGGCAATTGTATCTGTCTTACTTGTGTAGTGTTCAAAGTGAATGTGTTTTGTTCAGAATAAAATGCTAAATGATGTGTATCTTTGCATTTTAGGATGGAGAGACCCCACTCATCAAATCCACAAAAATGAGGAACATAGAGATCGTGGAACTCCTGCTGGATAAAGGAGCCAAGGTGTCTGCAGTGGAGAAGGTAATATTTAAAACACACTTGCACATCAGACACACCTGAATGGAAACATATTGTCATAACAGCACATTAGCTTTTATACAGGTATTACATCTAGTAACCTGGAGGTTCCTTCTTTGCCCACTTTTTAAAGTGTTTTTTCCAGAGTTTTCTAATAGATATCTGCCAATGTATTTTTTGTCCCTTCAGAAAGGAGACACGCCGCTCCACATTGCCATCAGAGGGCGCAGCAGAAAGCTGGCTGAGCTGTTGCTGAGGAACCCTAAAGATGGCCGCCTGCTCTACCGCCCCAACAAAGCTGGAGAAACACCATACAACATTGACTGCACCCACCAGAAAAGCATCCTCACACAGATATTTGGAGCCAGTAAGACCTTTTTTTCCCATAATATCCAGAAAGTATTGTTTTAAAAAACAAGCTCATAGCCCTATGAAGCAATTGGAAATGAAACTGCTTTACTTTGTGCCAGGGAATAATTTCCATAGATGTTTACCTTTTGCCCTCTGACACAGATGGCCAGCCTTGAGCAGCCGTTATCTCCCATAAGGAGGGGCTGCCCTAGCATATTGTTGATGTTACCAGTTTGTGACCGGGCAACTGTCGGTCAGAGATAGTTATTGTTGTGGGACACCTGGAACACATCCTTTTCGGGGTGTAGATGACCCCGAGCCATAAGCGACAACAAATGTGATTCAGTGTCCTCAGCTGTTTAGTCTATCTATTGAAGAATGTTGATTATTACACTCTGAACTAGTTAAAACCTCGAGCTACAGGAAGGTTCTTCAGAATGGATTGTGGCATCTCAACCGTGGCCCGTGACATGTCTTGTGAATTCTCCGGCCGAAGCTCCAAATAAACCGTCAGTGTTTGCCATCAAAGCTCCAGTTCTCCTCGTGTCTCTCTGAGTCCTGACTCCAATTGCTTCAGAAGTTTCCCCCACACTTTGTATTCTCTTGTGCACTTTTTAATATGTTCCCTCTCCCTCTCTCTTTCTCTCAGAGCACCTCTCCCCCTCTGAGTCTGATGGAGACATGTTGGGTTATGACCTGTATAGCAGTGCTCTAGCAGACATCCTGAGTGAGCCCACCATGCAGCCCCCGATCTGCGTTGGCCTGTACGCCCAGTGGGGCAGCGGCAAATCCTTCCTTCTTAAGAAACTGGAGGGTAAGTAAGCATTAAACCCTGTCTCATACAAAAATATAAAAATACAGAATTGTGACAATTATCTTTTTACACTGTGCCTTTCCTCAGGTTCTTCAATACGACTATAACCTCTTGATTTGTTCACCTTATAAATGATTCAAATAACTGAAATAAAACGTTTTCCCTTCCTTCTGTCCATCAGATGAGATGAAGACCTTTGCAGGCCAGCAGATAGAGCCCTTGTTCCAGTTCTCCTGGCTGGTGGTCTTCCTCACCCTGCTGCTCTGCGGCTCACTGGCTATGGTTCTGGGATTTACTGTCGATCCCCAGCTGGCAATCGCCGTCTCCCTCAGCCTCCTCGCTCTGCTCTACATCTTCTTTGGTGAGGAGACAGATTAGCAACACATAACTCATGAAGACTTACAGCTAGAGTGTTCTCAGTTTCACATGAGGATGACTTGTGCTTCTCAACTTGGACATTCTTATGGAAAACACTTACTGATGCTTATGAATAATAGACCCTCCAGAAAAACGCGGGCTAAAATCCTCGATTATGCGATTTAAACATGCAGGGTTTTTATGTGATTTTATGCGGTGAAATTGCGGGAAGTTGCGAAATATGCTAAATATTTTTTTTAAATATTGGGCTGTCTTATTTATTCTCTCTCACACACAACCTGCCACTAACGTTAAACCCCTTTACTATTCAATTAAACACATTCAATGTTTATTTATTGTAAAAGCAATTGGGCTATTTTAATCACACTCTCTCTCACACACACACACACACACACACACTTCTCCGCCTCATTCTGTTTTCATTTACTCGTTCGTTATCTGACCAGCTTCAATCTTGGAGGCTTCTCACCTCGTTTCTTGTAGCCCTCGAAAGGGTTTTGGAGGTCGATGCCTCGGTGAAAGTGAGTTGTTTGGCTTTCTTGTCCGCGGCAGCAGAAAGCATTTTCGAATGTTTGAATGAATCAAAGTGGGTCGTCACCGTGGATGTTCTCTTATGCTCCAACACACAGTTGCACGGGGTGCAGAATAGTTTCCCCCCACTTTCGTGCAAGACATCGGGGTACTGCTTTGCCCAGTCTTTAGCAGAAATGTTCGTCGGTAAATGAGATGGATTCGATTTTTTCATCTTGGTGTTTTCTCTCATGTGAGCTCCACACGTTCACTCTATACGGTGTTGTTTACCTTCTGTGATGCGCGAGCTGATGACGTCACATCATCATCATCATCACTACTTCACGTCAAGACGAGTTCACTTTTTTTTTTCTCAACTTTGTGTGGAAAAATGCGGGGACTATGCGGCCTTTTGATAAATATGCGGCCTTTTAAAAATCTGCGCCATTTTGCTGATTATGCGGTAAATTCTGCGATCGCAGAATCGCGTTTTTCTGGAGGGTCTAAAAAGAGCTTACCTTTGTAATCATGAATTTATTTATTTTTTAGCTTGTGAACTACAAATGTAAAACAATTCCCCTTGTTCTCTCCACAGTGTTGGTGTACTTTGGAAGTCGGCGTGAGAGGGAGAGCTGGCACTGGGCGTGGGTCATCAGCACCCGTCTGGCTCGCCAAGTCGGTTACATGGAGCTGCTGCTCAAACTGATGTTTGTCAACCCCCCCGAACTTCCTGAGCAGACCACCCGCGCACTGCCTGTCAGGTGACTGTTACACACACACAGACACTCACACACAGCTCTGTCAGATGTCAAAAGCAAATATATCCCAATTGCAGTCTCACTGGGTTAGTACCATTGCCTATTACATCTATAATTGTAATGTTAAAGGAGACATGTCATGCTTTTCCGGTTATTACCCGTCCCCTTGTGTGTTATGAAGGTTTTTATGCATGTAAACGGTCTGCAGAGTCAAAAACCCTCTAAGTACACCCTGTAGCGAGCAAAACTCTAACACAGAAAATACCTCCCCAAAACGCCTCTTGGAGATTTGGGTATCGCTACGTAGGGATACCCAGTAGCCACGCCCAGAGCTATGACCAGGCTGATTGGTCCAAATTAACCAATCCACGGACTTCCTCACACACACACACACACACACACACACACACACACACACACACACACACACACACACACACACACACACACACACACACACACACACACACACAGTGCAGGCAGCTCTGCTGATTTCTCCTCCCTGGCTGCAGGCTGATAACAGACAGTTGGGATCGCGGCAAAATTCTCTCTGCAGACCCATTCTCTCTGCAGACCCATTCTCTCTGCAGACCCATTCTCTCTGCAGACCCATTCTCTCTGCAGACCCATTCTCTCTGCAGATGGATTCTCTCTGCAGACCCATTCTCTCTGCAGACCCATTCTCTCTGCAGACCCATTCTCTCTGCAGACCCATTCTCTCTGCAGACCCATTCTCTCTGCAGACCCATTCTCTCTGCAGACCCATTCTCTCTGCAGACCCATTCTCTCTGCAGACCCATTCTCTCTGCAGACCCATTCTCTCTGCAGACCCATTCTCTCTGCAGACCCATTCTCACAGCGTTTATCAACCTTTTTCTTACTCAATATCAAGCCACACTTATTGTTTTTACTTCGGCTGTGAGTTTGTGTGTGCTCAGGATGAGTTTGGCTGTGTTTCGTTGTGTATCGCTAAACAAGGAAACAACACCTCCACGGAGCTCAGCGCGATTCACAACGTCCCGACCAATCAGAGCACACTGTGCTCACAGGGAGGGTGGGGGCTGGAGCTACTGGAGCTACAACGAGCCGTTAAAGGCAGAGAGTGAAATTCAGTGAATACACGTAGTTTACAGAGATGCTGTATGAGGAACCAATGTGAGTTTGGAAAATTGCACAATATAAATCTATTCTAGTCAACAATGGAATTATGATCAGTGGAAATGGCCATGACATGTCTCCTTTAACAACATTGTAAAAAATAAAACAGTAATCCCAGTCCAGTGCGAATCCCTGAATAATTTCTGTTTCTCTCATGTGGCACAGGTTCCTGTTCACAGACTACAACCGTCTGTCCAGTGTTGGAGGGGAGACCTCCATGGCTGAGATGATCGCCACGCTCTCTGATGCCTGTGAGAGAGAGTTTGGCTTCATGGCCTCCAGGCTCTTCAGGGTTTTCAAGAAAGATGAGATCCAAGGTGATGTTGCCATCTTTAGATCTAGTCATGTTTTGACATTTCACAAAGTTACAGTCAGACTGTCATTGAGATCACAAATTACATTTACATTCATTACATTGACAATTATGAGCTTACATTACCATCAGAGACTGCACTGACCTCACCACCTTCAAAAAACTTACAAAAACTCACCTCTTCAATCTGGCTTTTAATGTGTGATTGTTTTTGTATTATTTGACTTTAACTTTAACTATATATTTATTTGTTGTTCCTTTATTTTATTTTCTCTTCACTATATATGTAAAGCGTCTTTGAGCACCTGTAAAAGCGCTAACAAATTAAATCTATTATTATTATTATTATTACATTAATCGGCCTAACTAACTAAAATATGCATGTTTGGTGTACAGATTTTGAAGTGAAATATATGCCCTTTTTAAAAAGACAGTAAACCTGGTCGCCTTAATCAGTTTTGTTTTTTAAATGTAGTATTTAAACTTCTTTTGAATTACTGCACCATTAGAATGAGAAAAGACATTCTCTTTTCAAAGCAATATGAAACTCTTGTAGGCACTGCTTCAAATGAATAGTTTAGGCAGTCTTTTCTCTATTTTACACGTCCTTTCTCAAATGATCTTAATATCTGAAGGTTGTTTTTGTTCAGTCTACATAGAAAATGTATTTTCTGAGTGTTTGTATAATCTAAACGCACCCCTCACATATTATCCTCTTCTTTCCTCTGGCACCCCAGGTAAGAAGTGGAAGAAAACATGCTGCGTTCCCTCCTTCGTGCTGTTTGTCTTGACACTGGGATGCCTGATCACTGGTGTGGCCCTGTTGGCCATCTTTAAGGTTGGTTAAAGATTATTGCACGTCTCAAACATCTTGGTCACTGGACATCGGCAACACATTTATTTCAATGCTTTTTCCCCCAGGTGGACCCTAATAACTTCACAGTAAATGCAGTGCTGATAGCCATGGCCAGTGTGGTGGGTCTGGCCTTACTGCTCAACTTCAGGACCTGGTGGCAGGTGGCTGACTCCGTCCTCAACTCCCAGAGGAAACGTCTGCACAGTGCTGCCAACAACTTACATAAACTCAAGAGTGAAGGGTTTATGAAGGTAGGCGAATAAACCGTATATTCATTTTACCCAATCAAGGAGCAAATTCTTCTACGTCCTGTTGTCATGACTGAATGGGCATTTCATTAGTTTATATAGTTATCAAGCTGTAGTCACTATTCCAATCAATGTTTCTTTTCCTTGTTTTGAGACATTGTTTTTATTCCCTGTCTCACATTAGGTTCTGAAGCATGAAGTGGAACTAATGTCAAAAATGGCCAAAACCATTGATGGCTTTACCCAGAACCAGACACGAATGGCCGTCATCATCGACGGACTGGACGCCTGTGAGCAGGACAAAGTTCTGCAGATGCTGGACACGGTGGGTGTGACCACATGTTTCTGTGGTTGAGAAATATGCTCAATGTTCCTTATGTGGAGAGAGCTTATTTGGTTGCTTACTTCGATTGATTTGTCTTCAGTGAAAAACTCGGGACATTTGGAAAAACTCTGGTGACATTAATGTAGCATGTAGAAAGTAGGCTTGTTTCGGCTGTCTATCTGTAGATTTATATGTCAGACAGCTCTATGGCTGTAGGATTGAGCGGTGACAATTTATAGTATATGGGCAAACATCCACTGGTTGGTGCTCATGGTTAAAAAAAGAAGCCAAACAATAGCAAGAAGCCAAAAGAGATTTAAGGAAGTATATATACTGGTCTATCATATAATGATGGTTTGAGTGAAAATAAATCAAGATATTTTTCTCTAGGAAACATGCTGGCAGTGCTTTTTTGATAAAAGCTGTGACGAAGCTCTCCCATGTGCCCTGCCAGCACTTTTCTGCTTGAAGAAAACAAACTCTATATTGACACACTACCTAAATAATAAGTTCCTCTTCATAATACGGTTATATGAATCACGTACGCTTATCAACATCAATCAATCAAGCACATTTCAAACAACTGACTGTTGTGGAGCTGCTGCCATGTGGCCTTCACTTACACTGGGTCTTTCAGCACTGTGCAGCCACCCAGGTGTTAGCAGCTGGCTCAGCTCGCCTCCAGGTTTACTTTCTTCCTTCCAGCTGCTGTAATAACATTTTCTGCAGCCAAATGTTATTATTCGATGAAGAAATCCCAGTGAAGATGGCAACCTCCTGTGTGCTAATGTAATCTTCTCATATCCGCAACCAGCACCAAGTCACCATCAGATATTCAAACACTGGGACATTTATTTTTTGTAGGTTATACTTTTCTTTTCTTCACTTTTTATACTTTTCCTACATGATAACGTGCCTTAAGATGCAGATCATGTGATGGCGCCTCAGTTTCTGGAGCTGACAGCTGCTGCAGGGACAGGGGCTCATCATGCGGGGCGAGGCTGAGCGTGTTGGCCAGTGGTTAACGAACCATGTGTGCGTGTAGCACAAATCGATGTCCTGTGACACTTGGACAATGTCCCTTAGTTAGCAGAGTGGAAATCCCCTAACACCATGTGCTGAGGACAGTCAGTTCTCACAGGAGTCAATTCAGTTTAAGGGCTACGGCCGGCTCTTGCCTCTAGCTGTCGTGTTTTTGACAATTGATGTGATTGTAAACCGCCCATTTTTGACAACAAAGTGGGCTTTGCAAAAAATTCAGCAAATCAGTGAAGCTGTTTTTCATTACAAATAGTGCAACATGTATCATCGTTTGAAAAAACAATTTAATTGAATAAAAAGGTTGTGACAGATATCCTTTACACACTAACTTATGGTTTCTTTGTTATTCCAGGTCAGGGTACTCTTCTCCAAAGGGCCTTTTATTTCCGTTTTTGCCAGTGACCCCCATATCATCATCAAAGCTATCAACCAAAACCTCAACAGTGTGCTGAGAGACTCCAACATCAACGGACACGACTACATGAGGAACATCGTCCACCTGCCAGTATTCCTCAACAGCAGAGGCCTCAGCACGGCCAAAAAGCTCTGCACCGCTGCCCCCGTCAACGGAGAGCCACTTCCTGCTGAGGGTAAAGGATAACGTCTAATAAAACATTTATTGTACTTTTTCAATTCATTTATATCCCCCTTTTTTTTCCTAAACAACATAACAATAGTCAATAAAATACAATATGGAGGTTGGGTAAGGTTTAGAGGTTAGGTAGCTCAAAAACATATTAGTTATTCTTTCCCCAACCTATAGTCATTATTTCTTTATTTGAAATCTTCTTCTCTTTTTATTATAATTCAAGATATTGTATTGTGAACATGTTTAGAGGATTGCTTTCAGTTTATGGCCATTTTAGGATTTGAATTGACAGAATGGGAAAATATATTATTCTATTTTATTTGAGAGGTACATTTTTATTTCCGCATGCAAGCATTGGTGAGATGTGAATCCCTCTGTTTCTCTTCCTCTCTCTCTCTGATCAGGATGGCATGAAGACTTGGACAGGAAGATGTCTCAGACCAGCATGGACCAGGCCAAGTTTGGCAGCAAGAACGCCCTCAACCGCAGGGTAACCGCTATTCAAGATTATTTGTGTAAACCAATATCACATACGATGTTTTGTTGGGGTAGACATTTCCACATCAATGTTCCCAATCCGGCCCAAGATCTAAAGAAGACAGTGAAGAACAATGGCACACAATAAAGACTATGTGAGAAGCATTTTGAAGAGAAACCCCCCTTTGCGATTGGCTGGGGATGTGTCATAGATTGTAAGAATGGCAATAATAATAGCCAGGCAATAATAGAAAGTAGGATTATAATATATCCAAATGAGATATGGAAAGACCAATATATCAAGCACTGCTTTTCTACTTGTCATTTTAAATAGAAAGGGTGCACACCCCATCGTTACCAATGACAACCAAGCCAACAATAATAAGGAATCGCAGAAAAAGCTTTTGATTCCAAATGAAAGCAGAGACAGATAAACGAGGTAAAATAAATTAGTTTTCCCACCACACTTAATATTCCCACAACGCTCATTTTATCTGGAAATACCATAGAGCTGGAAATGAATGATTGATGCCTTGACATTAATCAAACAAAATTAAAAAGCAGTTCATTTGCTGCAACGAGAACAGCAAACATGGGATTGGGGTTAGAGATGCTGCCTTGGAAGCCCCCCCCCCCCCCCCTGCTCTCTTTTTTTTCCCGACCTCCTCCCTGCAGTTGGGGGGGGGGGGGTGCACTACAGACGTTGTGTTGGCAGGCAGTGCGGAGGCCAGAGGACAGAAGGAGACACACAGAGACGAAGAGAGAGGTGCTCGGTGTGCGGCCAAGGTTCCTGGTGTAATTGATGTAATGACTGTTTATCCTTCCTGCTGCGTTGCCACAGCCTAATGACAAGGCCTAGCAGCAGTGGGTCCCTGTGACAAAACACTGGCACCAGGACTGCTGGCAGGAGGCTAAGTGACTCTGCTGCTGTCGCTGATGCCTTCCTCCCCCCTGCGAGACCTTGCCTCTACCCCTCCCTCCTTCCCGCCTCCTCCTCTTGTTTGTTTGTTTGACATTTGTTTGTACCTCGGGTTTATCTAGTACCCTCAATTATTGGTGTTGGCCCTTCTATTATGGGGCGGCATGCTCTTTTTATTTGCCCTCTGCCACTAGCTAGCTCTTGGCAGGAGGGCCCTCTGTCTACAAGTGGAGATTAAAATGAGGGCAGGAGGGGGAAATGAATTAGTGGCTCTCCATTTGCATGTGTCTTCTCAAGTCGCGGATAACATTAGGAGTATCTCTACCATCTTATTTCCATTTTTTGGGAATGAATAATGGCCTTTTTTTATAAGGAAAATAACTCGAATAAATCCACCACCCTCTCAATGTATGACAATGGTTCACAGAAAAGTGTATCAGCAAGTAGAAAAGCACCAGTGAGAGTAAGTAAATACAGACACAATCATCCGAACCAATGAAGCTGTAAATCTAAAGTCAAAATCAATACATATTGGACAGTCATCCACACAGGACTGTCTGTATGATGGACCTTTTCAGTTGTGACTGAGTGGGGGCCACATGCCTCGTCTCACTATAGAACGAGGTCATGAGACTGGCATTATGACTTCAAAGTCAACCAAAAGCTTCGCCTTGGCTCATGACCACAACATCTGTCTGATATCATCACAGATGTTCTCTGCTAGATCTGTGTCAACAGCTCGCCTTGTGTGTCATGACTGTTCAGCTTCGGACAGTGGCTCTTTGATTTGCATTTGTAGTCATAGGGATTGGTATGTTTTGCTCATTAAAAGATGGATGATGTAGTGGGGAAGACAGAAGAAGCTGATGTTTTTAAAGTTAAACTATTAAATAAAAAATGTTTGCTGGAGTATCTTTACAGTCCGAAACTGCTTGTAAACCATTGATAAAATGTTGAATGAATAAAATAGCCCAGAAATATGTAATTGGGTTGCATAACGTAAATATAGATTAACATGGATATGACAACATGATATCTAGCTATCCACCTTCATCTACATTTCTTTCTCAATCTAGTCAAGCTTAAGGTTTTACAGTGACATGAACCGAGATGACCCTCGAGCCTGAAATGCCAGCGCTCCTGTCTCACGTTGTAAAGCTTGCAGTGATGACGCAAAAGTATCAAAACGTGTGCGAGGGTCTGTTCATGCTTTTGTTCAGCATGCTGTGGTTGTGTTTGTTTTTCTTCTGTGACTGTAAGAGAGTTCTTCTTTGCCACTGGTAAACTGCTATATTTAATACACCACTTTCTTTCATAAAGTTTGAATAAAAATACCATTCTGATACATTTAAAGCTGCATTAAAACACCACATATAATCAGAGTCATAAAGACGTATATTGTCCAAGCCATCTAGAAAACAGTACAAATCGAAAATGTCCAATCTTAAGCTAATTTAGGCTCTCTCTGTGTATAGGACACATACAGGCGTCGGCAGATGCAGAGGACCGTCACGAGACAGATGTCCTTCGACCTGACCAAGCTGCTGGTGACTGAGGACTGGTTCAGCGACATCAGCCCACAGACCATGAGGAGGCTGCTCAACATAGTCTCCATTACAGGTAAAGAAGAAATAATATTCTGCCTAAGAGCCACACTCATTTCGTTATATTAACAAAACAACAACAACCCTATATAAACTCTTAAATTTAAGAATTTAGATTTAGTTAGCCATAGGGAAGAAATACTGAGGATCGAGGAGGGAAAAACATAAACACACTGATGGAATTTAATACTAGACCACTAGAGGTCAATATTATGTTATGGAGGGGGTGAATTTAACCAAGCATTTAATGAAAACTTAGCTCATAGGTTTCTGAGATGACCTTTGTTTTCTCAGACAGATTAGACCAGCGACTTCTTAGGCCACTAATTCTCCTCACCTTTGTTATAGGTCGTCTGTTGAGGGCCAATCAGATCATCTTCAACTGGGACCGGCTGGCCTCTTGGATCAACCTGACCGAGGAGTGGCCTTACAGAACGTCATGGATCATCCTCTTTCTGGAAGAGAACGACGGAGTGTCCGACCACACTGCTCTCAAGACCATCTATGAGAGGTACAGACACACACACACACACACACACACACACACACACACACACACACACACACACATGCATAGACAGACAAAAACCCCATCTCTTTAGCTACTAATCTGTTCTACAAGTTGTACATGCTTTCTTTCTTTTCTAACTTATCTTGGGTGACGACTCTAGCACACTTAGGTGACCTTGCTTAGTTTAAGGACCCGGTGTTGTTGGTAAACTAAACCCCCGCAAGTGGCTTCGGTGTCCTCACCTTTCTTTACGAGAATATCCTGAACAGAATTTAAGTTTTGCATTCAATAAATACTCCCATTTCTTTATGTTTTTTCTTTGAAATACTGATATAACTAACTCTTACCAGGAGGTGGCAGTAGAGGATTTGGTTTTCACTGTTAGCAACATTAGTGAGTCCCTGAGAATAGCTTTGAGTGCAACAGTAATTGGCAACTGACAGACAGGTTTTGTAATTGATCATAATGCACAAGTCAAATAGATGACTGAAATACAGCCTGGTCTTCTCCGGACTAATCCAGGGACACTTTTCCTTAAAATTGGACAAAAGAAAGTCAATGCTCAGGCATCTTTGTTTGAGCAGTGAAGGAAAGTATTGTGTCTGTGTGTGTATTCAGTACGACTGTTCATGCCTTTGTATGTGTGTGGTCACGGATGCTTTTCAGCATGCTAACCGCAGACAGGAGGAGGAGGCCGACACGGGCCGAGTTGCTGGGTTTGGGTGCTGCTGTGTATCAGTCGATGGCCTTTAAAGGTTGCACTCTGTCACAATACACTAGTGCCTATGACTCCTGCGGCAGGGAAGCGTCACAGACAGTTACTGTCAGCCAGTCAGCCAGCTAGATTCAGCAGACATCCCTCCCTCCCCCATCTCCACAGCCTCATTAGAGTAGGTTTGCTTTTCAGAGGACAATAGGAATTACCTTCCATTTCTTTGATGTTACAGGGCAAGTATGAGGGGAGGACAGACTACAAGGTATTCGAGGAGAAGCATTTCAGTTAGCGGTTTCGATTATTTTAGCTGAATATGATGATATATACCCTCTACAAATGTTCATTTATGCGGTAAAAATGCACTTCTCTGTTTATCTTTATAATGTTTCATCATAGTGGACATCCTTAAGGAAATGTGCACACTTTTTACCACAAATATTCTGGAAAATCCGACTCTCGGATATATAATTATACACTGGAATAGCCATCAAATGCTGCTGTGTTTCTACATCTTGCCTGGATTCGAGCGCCTTCTTCCCCACATCACTGGATTGTGCTTACACCGCTCATTAGCCTTAATATAGCCATCGTCTTGTTGTTGACCAACAGCCCTGTCTTTCTTCATCTTCCTCCTCACTGGCTGCCTTTCCAAATGGCTGCTCTGTACTGTAGTGGCCGTCGGAGGAGCAGCCTTAATGATGATGACAGGAAGCCTCAAACAGGCTAAACACAACGCCTAGCCTAGAGGCCTTATCTCTTGCGGTAATCTTCCGCTGATAAGACTCAGGCCTCTGTCTGTGTATCTTTTTCCGTCTCTCTTCTCTTTTCTTCCCCTTCCTTATGATCTGAGGCTCTTAAGTCCCTTTTATTATTCTGTCTATTTCCCTCAGCAGTCGATATGCCCTTTACTGGCCTCTCAGAGACTCAAGCCCCACTGTGTGTCTGCTTCAGAAATGGATATCTTCTTTTTCTTGCTTTCCTTTTTTTACATGAACACCACATGTGCTCACACTCGCATATATCACATGTTACTTCCTGTATAGTATACTTAGAATCCTTTTGGTTTAATTCCGTTACCAACGCAGTTAAGCCCTAATGTGTGGTCTTGTTTGTGTTTCACATGCATTCATAGAAACGAGTTATTGTGCTCAGCCATTTTTACACAGCGGAACAGCACATCCCCTGAGCGTTACTAAGTGAATATATTAGTGGTGAAGTGAACGTGGGGGTGAGTCAGCCCCTTATAGGTCAACTGTCGCCCTGCATCTCAGTCACATAGCTGCATGCTCTTCCTCTACTCTTTGTAAGGCTTGCTATGGCTGAATACATAGAATCAGAAATAATACACTTTATTAAGTCATAGTCTGGATCAATCTTAAAAATAATGGCCTTCTACAGCTACATCTGTTAAAAGATAAGGTTTAAATATAGGTTTGATCCTTGCCTGAGGTCTTTTAAAGTTGGCTCAGTTTTATACCCTTCTAAATGAAAACAAAATTGAGCCATCCACTACAAAACCAACGGGGAACATTGCATGAGTTACATATAGAGTGCCTCTCAGGGATGACAGCTACTCTATGGCATGTACCTGAACTCCTAGAAAAGAGAGAAAAAATAGAAATCCACCCGCCCACCTTTGCCTCATATCTCACACAAACACTCGCTTTCAAAACGGCTAAGAGCTGTTTTTAGCAACTTGCCTGGCAATAACAAGTGCCATGAAGGGCTGTGAAGTGTCATTGTAGGACACGGCGTGAAGAGAAATGTGTAGCGCTAATTCCCGTAGCGGGAGTGGGCCAGTACAGCCTTCCTAATCTGATGGAGAATGTGTAATCAGTTAATAACCTCAGCGATTTCTATCATTAATGGTAAGACCGGTGGCTGCCGGGACTAAAGCAAGGTAGCAGGGGGGAAAACAACAAAGATGCCACTGTGTGTAGGAGATATTAGTTCAAAGCAATCAAACACACACGTATTGCAGCTAAAATGTTGGTCTCACTATTTACTTTGAGTAGACTCCAAATCCCCCCTCGAGCAGTGAGCCTGCCCTGCACACTGACTGAAGCGGAAAACAAAAACGAGAAGTGTTTTGGACCGATCCTTTCATTTGTAGCTGTCAAATTAACAGCCCCAAATCCGTGTTTCCAATGCTGTTTTTCCAGCACGGGCTAATTGAATTTAGAGCCTGCAGCCTTGTGACTATCATTTTCAGCTGTATCATTTATTCCTCGTCAGTATCCTAGTTTGTTCTCAGGAGCCAGTTGTTCCTTGTTTTAGCTGCCATTAGAGGCTTAACGACTATCGCTAACCTAGCTCTCTCCTGCTTCATGGTTATTGCATCGAAGCAGTTTTGCTATTTCCAGAGACCGTTGATGGGCTTTTGTATGTTTATTTTCTTGTTGTTGTTTAGAGTCATTACATTACAGAAAAACTGTACGTAGAGGGATTCCAAGTGACTGAGCAAGTACAGGTTCTTTCTGACCTCATCCCTTTTGATTTGAACACTTTTAAGAAATATATAGAGCTACATATTGGCAGACAACCAAAAGACAGATATCTCTTATTTATGAAAAGATATAACAGTATTGTTGTTTGGCCTTCGGAAAGCTTTCAGTAGGTTAAAGCCCTGACATAGGAGTGAAAGCTCTAACATCAATCCCACAGTGTAGTAGGGCTGCTCAATTAATCTTATTTTAATCTCAATTACGATTTTAGCTTGCAACGATTATGAAAACAACATCGAAATAAAACGGTTTTTTATTTATTTTTTAATTATTTTTTTTATTTTAAATGGATGTTTTCAAAGTAAATGGATAATCGTTTTTAATAATCGTGATATCAATTATCGACCAAAATAATCGAGATTATGATTTTTGCCATAATCGAGCAGCCCTTCAGTGTAGCATGTGTATATAAGTTTATTCAAGTTTAGGGGTCATAATCAGCTCCCAGCGTCTCTGTCATTCCTGTATTCCTTAAAGAAGAATGCTAAATGCTCTCTTTAGGCAACAGTGTCAGGCAATTACTTTCATTATTAGATTTACATTTGTTTTGACAGTGATTATTTATTTGAAAGTGAAATAGTTCTGTGTTTTGGTTGAGGGGTTAACATATTTGGACCTAATGATGTATGGGGGCGGGCCCCTCAGAGAGTTTATTCTTGGATGCCCAGATCCCGTTTTCAGCATGAGGGAAAAAAAGTGTCACTGGTCCACTGAGCAGGTTCCTGCACTGCTCTGACATCTGGTGCCCTGTCTGTGCCAGGATGCCCCCGCCGCACTCAGGAGTGTGTTTCTGGCGCTGCACCTGAATCCTCTGTTCATTCCACACACACATACACACCAACACCAACTATTGCCTATAGACACACTTACACACACGCATGCACAGACTGTGGCAACATGCATTCACGCTCTAACTGAAACAAGCACTATTTGCCACGACAAACTGCATTTGCGATTGAACATATGCATGCACACACTTCAGATTACACATAAAGCTGGTGTGTATGGTAAACACACACATATACCTAGATCTCACACCAGTGCAAGAGCATATGTCACCCCCAACTCCTCTGAGAATCAGTGTAATTAATCAGACCTGAGATGCAGGCTTCATTCAACAAACACGCTTACGAACACACACACACACACACACACACACACACACACACACACACACACACACAGACACAGACACACACACTAAGCACACACTAAGCACAAGAGGCAGAACACTGCAGAGACATATTTGTCAGGCAAAATTGTAGTGTTTAAAAGGGATGTTCATGGGAATCTATAATTTTTCTCTTGTGCGTTTAGTTTTTTTGACCCTGCATTCGCGGAACAAATTCCCCCTTCTGATCGACGTGATTATAGCCAGGCACTTCTTGGACACTTGAAAACTTTTGTACACTTATAACACTCTGAATAAATACTAAGCCAGGCAATTCAGTCTTAATTAGAGAGACTCTTATCCCGAGTAGTGAAACATTAAGATGACACTCTCTTCATCCAGGATTACTTTAATTGGCACAATTATTGTAATTTGGTCGCAATTATGTGCTGGAATAAAGTGCAGTTCCAAAGCTCATGCGGGTGATTCCCTTTGTGTGGATTCCTTTAATAAGCTCTTAAATATCTGGCCGTCTGAGAATAATAGGCTGAATCCCATTCTTTTTTCATGATGAATACTTTTGAACTCCTTCTGCCCTCAATTGGAAAATCTTTATTCTTTGCAACGTGGCCTATTGTTCGTGTTAAATACCGTCGTATTTGTGACAATT